GCACCCAGCAGGAGACAGCCACCGCCGGCCACCGAGCATGCCTCACCTGGGAAGGGACGTTCTTGGGTGGTTCAATTCTAATGGACGGGTCCCACTCTCCCGGAGGGAGCACAGTCACCTGGTCCAGGAACTCGTCAATCCCTGCCAGCAGGTCATCTCGCTCTTTTGCCTTGTACGCCACATCATGAAAAATCTGTGGAGAGGAAAAAGCCCTCAGGAAAACTGAAAATAACTTGACTGAAAACAACCAACAATGGATATAGTAATGGACAGAGATGAAATCTTGGCTTTTTTTTTTTTTCTCTGCAAGGACAAGGCAGACAAGGTCTCCACCGGGGCAAACACTCAGAACCCCGATCCCAGCTGACACGTCACCCCAGCTCGAACCTGTCCCAGCTCCCTCCTGCTCTGCTAATACCTAACTGGCTGGACAATAAAATCACCACCTGTCAACCTCTGGATTTTTATGTCTGCCAGGAGAAGGGTAAAAGTAAAAGGTGAGATGGGTCAAGAGAGCAGCATATTCGTAAGAATACGAAGCGACAAGACTTGGCTCTGAAGTTGCATAATTTCATTAAAAAAAGGAACAGAAGGCAAGGTGTGGGGAAACTTCTCGGACCACAGGGCTGGGGGCCTGACAGAATTGCTAACACCGTCCTTGAGGAAACAAACCCACCAACCAAGGAGAGCGCGTGAACAGTTTCTGTCTCCTGCTGCCTGCTGGACACGTGCCTTGAGCGCGCTGCTCGGCAACGTCCAGAGCACCGCTGTGCTTACCCGGCGACGCGCTGGGCCTGAGCACCGCGACAGCCATGGGTCTCGCTGCCGGGAAACCCACACTGCAGCGCCCTGACCCTACAAACGGGTCTCCTCTGCACAGAACGGGAGTGCGGGTTCCCTGTGTCAACAGCCTGAGTGTGTTTAACTAACCACCCTCTCTAACACGTGAGGTCAGCCTTAACATGTTTCTCTCTAGATAACCTGCCTGCTAGTAATGATTTTCTCAGAGAAAGGTTTCTCTGCATCCTTGATTTTTCAAGAAGGGTGAAATGACATGGAAGAAACCCCCCCCACACACACAGCCAAGGGCACGATCCTCCCACAAGAAGCGCTCAGGGAAGTGAGTGAAGGCTTTCCAGAAGGCACTGCCGTGCGACTGTCCTCCCCGGCTACTGGCACAGTGCCTGGCGCAGCGAGTGCTCGGCACTGGGGCGCTGTGCGCGTGAGCAGCAAAGGCAGCACTTACTTCGTCGGTCATGATGGTGGCCATGGATCTGCCAATCTCATGGTACTGCTGACCTTTCCCTACTGGGCCCAACAGGATAAACAAGAATCTAGCAAACATACAAAGAATAAAAGAATAAAATTATGTACATAAATCTGAAGAAGTGGCCCCGGCTGTGTTCCGTGCAGCAGAGCGCTTCTGTCTCCTGCCAAACGCCAGCGTCGTGGCTCCTTCAGCAGGCGGAGACAGCCCAGTACGGGGCAGGCCTACTTGCCTTGACCTAACAGCTCCTCTGTGGCACTGGAAACTGTCTGTATGAATCTGTTCGATAACGTGGTTAACACTGTGGGGTCCCATTGATACAATTCCTTGCTATAGAAAGGCCACTTTCGTAATACATGGTATTGTAGTGAACCTTATTTGCTCTAATAAGAAAATGATGGGCAGAGGACTGGGATAAGGAAGCTGAATTGAACAAGCCTGAAGGAAGAGTCTAAGCTGTCTTCTGGACATCTGACCACCCGGTAATTAACGAGGTGCTGAATCACCTTCAGAGTGCATGACCAGCCTTCTGAACATATCTGCAAACCGCACAAGCCCTGCCATGGAAAGAGACATCCGTGCCTGTGCTCAGAGAGGAGGTGTCCGACACACAGCGCCCCAGGACGGGGGAGCGAGGCTGAGACTCCTCATTATAACAAATGACTGGTCCTCGCTGCGCCCTTGGACTGTTCTTCAGTTCTCCGTCTCCAAGGCTGTAAGCACTGCACAGCAACACTTAAGAGTCTTGGAATTCTCTGTGTAGAGGTAACCAAGTGCATCCTAGTTTTCTGAGGTTACTGAATTTTAACCCTAAATTAATTAGCCCCAAATGTTGGCATCAGCTGGCCTCTGCCCCCAGCGGCCCATAAGCCTGCGCTTTACAACACTGCGTGAGGCAGACTACGCTCGGTTTGGCTGTCTTTGTCTCACCTAGTGGGGATGGGAACTTCCGTCAGGCCCGAGAGGAGAACAGCCGGCGACAGCCTCACAAAGGCGACGATGGGGCGGCCGAGAGCGTCCACCTCTCCGACCAGGACGTTTGAGGCCTCTGCCCCTGTGGGGATTTTCTTCATGAAATGAAGGTCCACCTGAAAATCCAACAGAAGCTTCTGGTAACTTGGTAGCTCTCATCTCAAACACCAATTCCATCCCCTGCTCCACACCTTACATTTAAATGTCATGTTATGATTTCATAAGTTTTCCCCCAGTTTTCATTTATCCTTATCATAGACCT